ACAAGTCCCAGCCGGCTGCCTAGTCCTATGCAAGGCCAACGGCTGGGCACTTATCAAGGCACAATCTTTTGGGCCCGGGCAAGGAACAGGCCTACAGTTGTGGCCAAAATTATTCAACCCCCAATGCTGTAAAGGGGTTTAGGGACTATAGTGTACATTTGGAATTGTATTCAGAATCAAATCCTACAAGGACGTTGTAACTACCCAAATGCAACTAAAATGACATCAATTGTTTATGTAATACAGTAGTAAATGGTTCTTATGTGGTTTCTTCATTGCCACAATTATTCAACCCCTTAAAGACTACCACTCTGAAGAACAGAGGTTCATACAGGTGCTTTCCATCAGGTATTGAAAACACCTGTGGATGTCACCGAGCAGCAATCAAGCATAATAAGCACCAATTAGGCAGCTTTAAAATGACTGTGATACTCAGCTCCTTCTAGAATTTACTGGTGTGGTTACAAACATGGTGAAGGCAAGAGAATGGTCCAGGAAGACAAGAGAAGAGGTGATTTCTCTTCACAGGAAGGGCAATGGCTATAAGAAGATTGCAAAGATGTTAAACATACCAAGAGACACCTTAGGAAGCATCATTCGCAAATTCAAGGCAAAGGGCACTGTTGAAACGCTACCTGGTCGTGGCAGAAAGAAGATGCTGACTTCGACTGCTGTGCGCTACCTGAAGCGTAGAGTGGAGAGAAGTCCCCGTGTGACTGCTGAGGAACTGAGAAAAGATTTGTCAGATGTGGGTACAGAAGTTTCAGCCCAGACAATAAGACGCACACTGCGTAATGAAGGCCTCCGTGCCAGAACTCCCAGGCGTACCCCCTTGCTGTCTCCAAAGAATAAGAAGAGTCGACTGCAGTATGCCAAAAGCCATGTGGACAAACCACAAAAGTTGTGGGATAGTGTTCTGTGGACTGATGAAACAAAATTAGAACTGTTTGGGCCCATGGATCAACGCTATGTTTGGAGGAGGAAGAACAAGGCCTATGATGAAAAGAACACCTTGCCTACTGTGAAGCATGGTGGAGGGTCAATCATGCTTTGGGGCTGTTTTGCTTCTGCAGGTACAGGGAAGCTTCAGCGTGTGCAAGGTACCATGAATTCTCTTCAGTACCAGGAGATATTGGATGGAAACGTGATGCAGTCCGTCACACACCTGAGGCTTGGGAGACGTTGGACCTTTCAACAGGACAATGATCCCAAGCATACCTCCAAGTCCACTAGAGCATGGTTGCAGAGGAAAGGCTGGAACATTTTGGAGTGGCCATCGCAGTCACCAGACTTAAATCCGATTGAGAACCTCTGGTGGGACTTAAAGAAAGCAGTTGCAGTGCGCAAGCCTAAGAATGTGACTGAACTGGAGGCCTTTGCCCATGAAGAATGGGCGAAGATACCCGTAGATCGCTGCAAGACACTTGTGTCAAGCTATGCTTCACGTTTAAAAGCTGTCATAAAAAGGATGCTGTACTAAGTACTAAGATTGAATGTCACTTGGGGGTTGAATAAAACTGATAATGCTGTGAGCACAGAAAAGACATTTGTGGTTATTTCATTATAACTGTTATGTTATATTTGTCTGACCTACAAGTGCCTCTTTAATGTAAATGTAAGCAAGATGACTGAATGATCAAAAGCAATGTCAAACTGGCCAAAACACTCAATTTCAGTGGGGGTTGAATAATTTTGGCCACAACTGTATCTAGATCATCCCTTTGCCCAGCCCCCAGAGATTTTACCTCTGCCCCCGTCACAGCACTGTGGGTGACCCCCAACAGTGAAAATACATAATTTGTCTCATCATGAAGATCACAATCATTGTTAGCATTACCAACCTTACCAACAACAATACTAACATTCTCAACGACATTACTGGCCTTACTATCAATGTTACTGACATAATTAATGACATTACTGACTTTACTATCAATGTTACTGACATTAGTAATATCACCTCCATTGTCATCACAACGATTATCAACAGTCACGTTCATAATATCAATGACACATGCGTTCAATACCTCCCCAGACAAGGGGATTTCTTCTTGTTCTCCAGCTAATGGAGAATCCTGTAGCCCCACTCCATTCCCAGCCCCCTCCCTCTGTTCATCTGCCGGTGGCCCAGACATTACCCCCCAATATCTGTCCACAGTACCTGGGCTGGTCCAGAGAGTTCCAGGGGGCCCTTCCGGGTCTTCTTGGCAGGGGCATAATATGAAACAAGAGTGCCTAGGTCAGCACCCAACAAAACAGGTGTGGGCAGTTCATCTGAGACCCCCACCTCTCTCATCCCTCGCACCCCAATCTAGGCATACCTTTGCACAGGGTATGCGTGAACGGGTCCCCCAACTCCTGTGAGGGTCAGGAACTTTCCTGGGATGAGGTTCTGTGGCTCAATCAGCTCTGGCCGGATCAAGGTGACTTCTGCCCCAGTGTCCCTGAAACCAGTTGCAGACCGGTTGCCCACAGTAACGGGCTGCAAGTTGGCGGGGGTTACCCGCATCTTCCTGCGAACGAACAGCACAGAAGAAGAGTTGCTGGCCAGCTGGCTAGATGATGTCGTCTGCTTCTGCTCAGGACACTGGGTCCTGGGATGTCCGGCTTTCCCACAGGCGAAACATCTGCGGGGTGTCAGGCAGGAATAGCTTGGCTCCAAGCGCTGCAGAGGTGAAGCTTGACTCACCGAAGTAGGAGAGGTTGCTAGGGATGATTTCCCCCCTTTCCAGCTGTTTGGAGGAGCCTTGCTCAGACACTCGCGTGTGGATGAAGGTATCTGCCAGGTCTGCTGCAGCTGTAGTAGATGCTGGCTCCCTCTCCAAGACAAACTGTCTGACGTCTGCTGGGCAAATGTGCAAGAGTTGATCTCGTATCATGAGATCCTCTAAAGACTCGTAGGAGTCAGCTTTCAGTCCCTTAGTCCACTGTCAGAATGTTGTGCGTAAGCAACTCGCCACATCTGTGTAAGAGTCCCCAGGTCCCTTCTGCATGGACCTGAACCGCTTGCGGTACACTTCCGGGGTTATCTGGTACTTCCTGATGATGGCATCTTTCAAAAGTTCATAATCATCATCCTGCCCCTCTGGCAATTCAACAAATGCGTCCAGGGCCTTGCCTAGTAGCCCTGGTGTCAGGTACCGAACCCATTGAGCTTGGGGCACATGGTACAATAGTGCAGCAGTGAGGATTACTTCATCCACTTCAAATGTATGGATGGGGGAATTAGTATGGCCAGCTTTAGATTGTAAGCTCTTTGACAGCTGGGACTGCTGTTGACTGTAAATTGACAGTGCTGTTTACATACCTGTAATAACTATTATTATAACATACCACATTTATTTTTTAATGTGTCCGACTATCTCCATCTCTGTCCACTTTTAGACAATCCCTGAAAAAACTCATCTCTTCAGAGATAAGCCTACCCCCACAATTATTACTTTTTGTATCTCGACTCTCCCTCTGATTATAAGCTCTAACGAGCAGAGTCTTCTGTATCCCCCTGTATTAACCGCTTCCTGACCACCCTATAGCAGAAATATTGCTACAGGGTGGCACGAATGCGCAAAATCACGTATATATACATGATTTTTCATTTCCAGGTAGGGAGCCAGGTGATTTACGAGGATCTGTATGTAAACAAAACAGTTCTCCCTGTTGGCTCATGCACACTGCTTTGGATGGCTGTGCACACCACAGCCATCCAAAGCAGTGTGCTTACAGTGAAGCACACAGACACCGCCCCATAGTAAAACACACCCAGCACACAGTTAACCCTTTGATCGCCCCTCATTGATTTATTTCACGTACTTATATAGCGCTGTCAATTTTCGCAGCGCTTTACACATATATATATTGTACATACACATCAGTCCCTAACCCTCAAGGGGTCATACAATCTAAGGTTCCTAACTTACATTCATACATACACATACTAGGGCCAATTTAGACAGGAGCCAATTAATCTACCGACATGTCTTTGGAGTGTGGGAGGAAACCGAAGTACCAGAGGAAACCCACACAGGCACAGGGAGAACATGCAAACTCCAGGCAGGTGGTGCCGTGGCTGGGATTCAAACCAAGGACCCTAGTACTGCCAGGTGGAAGTGCTAACCACTTAGCCACTGTGCTGCCCAAGTTAACTCCTTCCTGCCCATGCCATTAGTACAGTGTTAGTGCTTTTTTTTTTAGCATTGATCACTGTATTGGTGTCACTAGGAATATCAGTGATACCAAGTCAGTTCCCCCCAGTGTTAGAATGCCTGCCGCAGTCCCGCAGTTTCGCAGTCCCGCTATCACTGCCAATACTAGTAAAAATAAAAAAATTAAAAATCCCAGTGTATATACCGCCATTTGTAAACGCTATAACTTTCACGTAAACCAATTAATTTACACATATTGGGATTTTTTTTTTAACAAAGACGTAGCAGAATACATTTTGGCCTAAATTTATGATGAAATTTTATTCTTTACACTTTTTTACTGGACATGATTAATAGCAAAAAGTCAAAAATATTGTTTTTTTTTTTTCTAAATTGTTGGTCTTTTTTTTTATAGCGCAAAAAATTTAAAATGCACAGGCGATCAAATATCTCTGAAAGAAACCTCAATTTGTCAAAAAATGGCCTGGTCAGGAAGGGGGCTAAATCTTCAGGAGGGCAAGTGATTAATTTGTATTGTAATTGTGCTGTCTGCCCCTATGTTGTAAAGCGTTGCGTAAACTGTTGGCGTTATAGAAATCCTGTTTTATAATAATAATATCCTTTTTTTTTTATAATCCACCAATTAAATACAAAATATCAACGTATGCTGAATTTTCTACGAAAGTTTCATCTTTGAACATGTGGCAGATCTGCATTTCTGTGTGCCTGCACCTTTAAAGGAAGAATGCATCACTTGGGAGGCGTAGTAGATCTCAACCAATCAGACGCTTCCAGTTTGTACTTTGTGACTGCTGGTTCAGCTGCCATTCATCTGCTTGTGTGCAGCCAAGTGAGATCATGCCTTTCCTGGATCTGGACACCAATATTCCCCAGCAGGATATTCCAGGGGACTTTGCTGAAAAGCTGTGCTCGGCTGCTGCCTCCATCCTGGGCAAACCTAAGGAAGTGAGTAGAGGAACAGATTGCATTGTCATTCTACGTGTGTATGTGATCACTGCAATGTGACATTCAGCAAATGGTGTCTATCAGTAACTGTTGACAGTTGCAAATCATTTATCATAAACTGCAAGTTTTCACATTTGGGTAACCATGATTTCTATTATTTCAGCTGGCGATGGATAAGGACACCTGTCAGGTTTTTATTGCTGTCTGTTGTTCCTCTGATGTGCAATCTCGATTTGTTCTGTTTACTTTTATCACTGAGCAAGAAAGTGAACGGAAAAACTCCAAACTTTTGTTGTCAACAGAACAGGAATAAAGGGAAATATCTTCCAATGGGGACACTAGTTCTGGTGACATTTCCAGTTTTGGCTATGGGACAGGAAGTAAAAGGACATCTCCCCCAAATGAACACAGATGGCAAAGTAACCTGACAGGTGTTATAACCCTTTCCTTAAAGCTGAGCTCCCGCCCAAAAGCGGAAATTCCACTTTAAGGCTTTGTCCCATTAAGGATTGGCACCTTTGGAAAGTGGGTACCCGAATTTGACAGGCACCTGCTCTCACTTTTGCTGCGATTGCCTCGTTGATTGGAAGCGGAAGTTGTCATATCACCCCTCTCTGCCTGTAGTCTTCTGGGACACGTGACCGGTCCTAGAAGACTACGGGGCCATTCACAAAGCGCAGCGCTTCTTGCACATGCGCAGTGGGCACCCGGCTGTGAAGCTGGAAGCTGTCACAGCTGGGTGCCCACACTGAAGATGCCGGCGCCGAGGAGACTGGATGGTCATCAACCCGGCCGGAGAGAGGACATCACAGCATCGAGGGACAGGTGAGTGTCCCCTTTTTTTTTATTTTTTTTTTTTTTAAAAAGTCAGCAACTACAGTCTTGTAGTTGTTGACATTTTATTTATTTTTTTAATTCCCACTGGACTTCTGCTTTAAAGTGTTACTAAACCCAGGACCCTGCATTCACTATATCTGATCTCCCACAGTACACACAACATGGAAATGCAATTATTTTAGTAAACATAAACTGCTAAGTACCTTTTTTTTTTTTTTTTTTTTTTTTTTTTCTCATCAGCAGTTAGAGCAGTCTTGTGACTTCTATCAGTGTCCAGCAGAGCACTGGTTAAAGCTTTGTAGGAGGAGTTTTCATTCTGCTTTAGGAGCATGCAGAACCCCTGACCTCTGTCTGGACAGTGCTGATTGGCCCTGCGCTGATCATATGCACTCTCCCAAGAAAGAAAAAAACTTCTTTAGCCATACACACCAAACTGAGCATGTGCATATCGAGTGACTCCACACGATATGTCTTATCAGGAGATGAGAGGGAAGCACAGGAAGAAGGCGAAGATCAGAGAAGTCAGGATCAAACAGCATTTTTATTCAATGTAGAGGATTAACCCCTTAGGTTCCACAGTGAGTATAACAAGCATATTTTACTGCAATATACAGAATGATTTTACTGTTGTGGGTTTAGCAACACTTTAAGCCAGCCATGGACAGATGAAAATTTGGCTGGTTCAGCAGTAACCGACTGAATTTGGATCCATCTATGGGCAGGCTGGTTGTACTGAAGTTCATCTATTGATTGACTTCTGTACAACCAGCCTGTCAGGTTTTTTTTTTTTTTTTTCATGCTATCACTGCCAGCGGCTATACCCAATCCTTGTAATCTGAGGGTGGGAAAACCTCCCACTGTCAACACTGACTTTGCTGATAGGGGAATCCAGTGATTTTTCTTTCCTTCAAACTGTGGTTGAAGGAAAGAAACTTGCATAGTCTATACAGCCAGCCATACTCTCAAGCAGGCCATACACTTGTAGATTTTCAGACGAGAATATTCTTAAGAAAAGTCGTATGAAAATTCTTTGTACATTCGATGAATGGACGAATGCTGTTTGAAAATGGTCTTTTGATTTTAACATTCACTTTTAAAATCTAATATATATTCTGAATGATAACTACGTACACTGGCCAAAAAATTCATGTGATTGAGAAGTTTTTTTTTTTTTTTTTTTTTTTTCCCTTTCTGTTCCATTGAAATTTTCCCATCACTGCTGTCGAAAACAAACATGGATTTGATCCCACTAACGATTAGAAAATCGAACAATTATTCTTGAAAATAAAATTTCTCGACCGAAAACCTATATGTTTATGGCCAGCTTTAGACTCCTTGCTAAAGCACTATACGTCTAGTACATGCAGACACAATTGTTTAGATGCATCAAGAACAACCCAACCAAAGCTGTCCTTGCAGTTGATTGGACAGTAATTAATTGACCAATGGAAATTAAAGTTATTTCCTTATCTTGAGGTACTAACCTTTTTGTAAACTGATGTAACACCGCCTATATTTTTGGAGATCGATGCTCTCCTGATTCCCCGCACATTATTTCTGGGTGCACAATAAATCCTTATGTGATTGAAGATTATCTGCTTCTCTGGTTCTTCTTGCGGGTCTGAACATATCCCTATTTACCACCTTTCACTCTGAAAAGTGATCCAAACACAAATTGCTTTTCAGATGCACAGAAGTTTAGACGCAAGTCTAAACTTGACTTAAGGCATCACCACTCACTCACTAGCCCCCATCACATACAGTAAATAGTTAATAGCCTTGTATTGTACATGACAACACCAAGGTGAAGATCAGAGATCTGGCTGGAGCAGGGGATAGGTTAAGAAATCCATCCTGCTCCTGTATCTTCTAGACCAGGTGTTTTTTTTTCAAACAAAGGCCAGTTTATTGTCCTTCAAACTTTATGGGAGGCGGATTGTAGCCAGCTGGAATAGAAAATGTCCTGGGCCTAGCATCAGTGAGAATACAGATGGCCTCAGGTTTAGTGGCCCGTAGGAGTCCTCTGGGTTGGTGGCTGGTAGGAGGAAGAGTAGTGCCTCATCATTGGTATTAGTGGGAGGTATAGCACATGATCACTGGTCTCAGTGGAAGAAATATGCCCCATTGTTGGTGTCAGTGGGAGGAATAGTGCCCCAAGAGCAGGATAAAGGCTAGAAAAGGGCCAATGCTCAATTGTCAAAGAACTCCTAGCAACTTCTAAAAGTACCCTCAGGATTCCATGGAATCCTGGATGAGGAAGGACCCTTTAGCATATGCATGGATCTGAACACTTCTGTTGCCAGAAAACTAAGAAAATATAGGAACTGCAGTCTACCCGAGGTGAAATGGTAGTTTTGGGAATTCTGACCCTTTAAAGCCCATCTCCAGCAAAAATACATATACTTAACATTTTGGGTTGAGTGCAAAAGGGTTCGAATATCCACTTTTGATTGTGTTCTGCTGGAGAGATTCTCCATTAGGCTAGGTTCACACCTATGCAGGTTGTGTTTGAGCTGTTTCTGCATTGCGTTTTGCATTGTGTTTTTTATGCGGTTTTCTTTTTTGTTTTTTTTGTTTTTTCTTGTTGCTAGGCAGATGTAAAATGCCTCAAAACCGCAATACATGCTTTTCTGCATAGATAATGTATAAGCGAGCGCTAAATAAATTATAAATATAAAAATATTAATATTGAACTATTGATATGAGAATAGCTGCTAGCACTCAGGATATCGGCAACAGTCCCAAAATCAACATATAAAGTATAAGTGCAGCACTAAAAAACGCATGTAACATAAATAACATATATCACATTAAGTCAATAAAGTGCAACTGTGTGCATCAATATGTGTCCGTGACAACTGTAAATGTAACACCGCAGGCAGTAAAAACTGCTAATGTCCTTTTATGATAAGGTAATTATTCGAAGTGCAAACAGGCAATTAGTCATGAAGTGCAAACGTGCAGAATTTCATGAAAGGAATCCACAGCGTAGGACGGATGTATACACTCGCCAGGCAGTAAACAATAATGCACATTTATTTATATCACACATCTAGGGGTGCAGTGGTATACTGACAGCATGTCCTCGGGTATACCCATACTGCACGAAACACGTTGGGTGGAGCCTCATTACTGAGGAGCGGCGGCCATCTTTGTACATATTTTGTCTTGATTTTATTTACTCCAGAAGGATGTTGTTTTTTTATATATTATCTTGCGAATTTACAAATAAATAAGCACTTTTTGGCTCCTGTGACTGAGCTGATTCCCCCAGGATCACAGGAGACCTGCCCCAATCGATGGATGGATGGAGCTACAGGATTAAATCTGGAGCTGTCAGTATACCACTGCACCCCCAGATGTGTGATATAAACAAATTCACATTATTGTTTACTGTCTGGTGAGTGTACATCTGTCCAAGGCAGCTGATTCCTTTCATGAAATTCTGCACTTTGGCACTTCGAATAATTACCTTTATCATAAAGGACATTAGCAGTTTTTACTGCCCGCTGTGTTACATTTACAGTTGTCATGGACGCATATTGATGCACACAGTTGCACTTTTGACACACTTCTTTGCACTTTATTGATTTAATGTGATAGATGTTGTTTATGTTACATGCGTTTATAGCGCTGCACTTATACTTTATATGCTTTTCTGCAGCATTTCCATTGACATCTAAAAAACCAAAAATGCAACTTTTTGCTTTCAAAAAAGTCCCTGACTCTTTCCACAAAAACACATCAGATCAGGTGAAAACACAGAGATGTGAACATGGCCCATAGGAAATCATATTAAATGGACTGTACTGCGTTTGTGCAAAACACTGCAGAAACCGCTTAGGTGTGAACCTGGGGTAACTTAGAGTTTTAGTAACACCTTGATGCATAGACTGCCACTAGGACAGGAGTCGTACAAGGAACAATAAAATCCTGATATGTATTACCCTCGCCGACTTCATAATTTTTATTGTTCTATTGTTGTTCTTGTGTCTGCTTTGAAGATTTATGTGCACTTCCTGTCCCTGTAGCAGGGGGTAGGTAGTAGTTGAAAATTTTCACCAGTGGGGATCATTAAAGAAGAAATAAGTTTTAGCCTTGTGGTTTTCAGTGTGTTTTGCAAAAACGCACTTTATTCCATTTACCATGGTTTCTTATGGATCTAGTTCACATCTGTTTTGCGTTGATGCGTTTTTTTTGGAAAGGGTTCTTTTTTTTTTTCCCCCCCCAGCAGGTTGCATTTGTGTAATAGATTTCAATGGACCTGCGCCAAAAAAAATGCAAGGGTGTTTTTTTTTGTGTTTTTTGGCACTTTTTTTTGGCTAATAGGAAAGTATGACAATTCTGTTCATGCAGTGCGACTTTACACTCTCTGGCACTTACGTAGCATCAACGTCACTCTACATGAACCAAACTGTTTTACGTTCCTATTAGCCAGAAAAAAAACATGCAAAAAAGTGTGTTCAAAACATGCGGGGAAAAATTCTTCAGCCGCAACCTGCATAGATGTGAACCTAGCCGTAAACCCGTTCACCACGAAAACCAAAACTGAAACAACAGTTTTTTGTCAGGAACTTGGACTTTCTTTTATTTTAGAGTAAGTGAGGGAGGGAACCCCTTCAGATTTTTTTGCTAGCTGTGTCCCTATTGCAAAGGTTCCCTCCCTACACTTCCTACCCCATAGCCAAAATCGGAAGTAAAAAAGAAATCCTTCTAAGACCCCCGTCACAATGGGTGCTGCTTGGCATGCGACTTGCATGCCATACAACTTGCAAATTGCATGGCAAGTTGCACCCTATTGTCAGCAACTACAGCGGTCATATTGGTGCAGTTCTGACTTGGTTGGGAGCCACACCAATTTCTAAAGTAGTGCATGATCTTCTTTTGGTGCAATTTGCATAGACTTCTGTGTCGCCTCAAACCTGCATGCCTTCCTACTTTGAAATCGTGAGACTTCACTATAAGTTACATTATTTCAATGTTGGGATTGGTGTGACCAAATGAGGGAATCCTGGGGCATCACAAGAATTAGTGGTAGATTTCTCCTCTATTCTATTTTTTTGTTGATTAAGGCTCCATGTATATGGGACACTTCTGAACAATGGAAACTGACTGCTGGAAAACGTAGGTTAAACGCCTGTTTAGCCGCGTTTGCATACCATGTTTATGAGCGTTTGCGCTTAGAAGCGTTTTTTAAAGATAACCTCAGGAGACCTTCCAGAATGCACTGAAAAACAGTAAAAAACTAACTATTTCAGATATATTGAGAGAAATGGGGAGAAGCAGAGAGAGCAGTATTTGTTGAAATTACTTTTTTTTTTTTTTTTTTTTTGTGGTGTTTGGATGTGTTCCAGCTCATTTCTGTGCAGAAATTATTGCAGTAGTGGCTAACCTATTTTTCTTTCATGCAAAACCTCAAAGTATGGTGGACCAGGTCCATTTGAGTACAGGGAAACCGCTTTGCATGCATTTTTCATGAAGAAAAAAGGCTCTGGACAACAAATGGAAATGGAAGAGTTAAAAAAAAATGTGCAAATGCTTAAAAACGCCGTTAGCCGTGTTAACAAGCGTTTGAAACGCTGCTAAAATCTACTGCTGAGAGCAAGTTTTCTGCGTTCAAAAAAACGACTGTAAACAAAGATGTGTTCATGGACACATAGGAAAACATTTAGGGTGCGTTCAGGGGCTGCTGAAAAAAACGCTGAACAGCTCCTAAATGTGAGTTTATCAGCTGCAGTGTACATGAGCCCTAACTGAAATTTGGGATTTTCTTTCCATTTTGATAATGGTGAACAGGACAAATTGGTAGGGTGAATCTTCTAACGGGGTTACAAACTGCCATAAAAACCTGACGGGTTCTAATCCCTCTCCCCTCTAGCCAAAAGTAAAAAAATTGCATTTAGTTATACATTATAAGGGTTTGTTGATGATCTTTTTATTTTAGTGTCGTAATTTTTTTTTTTTTTTTTTTTTTCCCCTGGATTCAGAACCCTAATCCTTTTTTATAAACTGTAAATAGGTTGCACTACCTGCTGGGCAGTGATAACAGTTTGGAAATAATTTTTATTTGTATTAGCTGATAAATGAGTTGGTAAAAGGTGTGTTTTACACAGGAAAAATACAAATGGATCCAAGAAGATTGATCGCATTTGTGGAATATCATGACATGGATTAGAGGTCATTATTGTAGCAATCGGACCCACAGAGATGGACGCGGTTCAACCATTTTGCTCCAACCTCCATCTTGGCAAAGGATCATCCATCTTGTACAAACATATATTTCCTCATTCTCCCCCTCCCTCTCTGAGACCCACAGTGACATTTGGTTGGTGTGTGTGTTGGAAGTGTCACAGGCAGGCCAGGGCACAGCAGACATCTCTGAGCTGGGTGCCGGGCTGGCTGGGAAGCTGTGCAATCTGGCACCTCGTGAAAGGATAACCCAAGTCTTCCCCTGAGTTCAGACATTCCAGAGGAGTAAAACTAGATAACACTTTTAAAATCCATTTTTCCCCTATGTCTCATTTCTTGGAATATGAGAGACTTGCATAAAAAACAGGCATACAAAATGGAGGTGGTGGACAGTGTCCAAGTGTTCAAGTTATTTACCTGACCATAGTAGTAAACAATTGTACCCATCTTCAGATTGGCCACGATTAGACAAACCGTTTGATATGTCACTTTCCTTGGCTGGAATATATAGGAAAGCCGAAAATTACATCTCTTGAACCATTCAAGTATGTATTTCATATCTAACCGTTCCTCAGATGCGTCTGCATATTAATCTACCCGCGGGTGGAATGTTACTTGTGCCTAGGAAAAGATATGAGCTATGAGAGATTTTGGTTCTAGTTTGGGTCTCCGCCCAGACAACCCCTTGCCAAATGAGGCATTGGTCCTTGGCTTCAGAGACACCCCCTGCTGGGGGACTACAAAATAGGCTTTTCTTGTTTGTTTTTCTTAATCTGTGGTGCGCCATACTGCTATTTTCTTAATGAACCCTCTAATAGTATATTGCAATGGTTTCCCACTTGAGAAAGGGATAGCAGCCTAGGCTGGAGACTAAAATAACACAATTGCTAGTTTCTCTTAACTTTTATGCAGACTAACTTGTTTGTGTGTTTTTTTTTTTTTTTTTTTGTTTTTTACCATAGAGGGTGAATGTTACCGTAAGGGGTGGAGCCTCTTTGCTAATTGGTGGCTGTTCATCACCATGTGTCCAGCTGATAATCTCTTCCATTGGTGTAGTGGGAACAGCAGAACAGAATAAAGAGCACAGCTCGAAACTCTTTGAGTTCCTCACCAAAGAACTTAACCTGACACCTGACAGGTAAGGTACCTGCTGAAAAATACATGTAGTCAGTTTGCAAGTTTAAAGGGGATCATTGAGATCTTTCTTCTGGTAATGTCTCATATTGAAGACGGAAGGAACTCTACAATGCTTAGACTGATCACATGGAATAATGCAAGTTTTACTCTAGGCTGTGTTACTGTGAGAATATAGAAAGATAAACTGTATTCTGCTAGCATTGGAAATGTTATCATTTTAAATATGAACTGATGGACCTCTGGGAGCTGCACCCCAAAAAAGGAAGGTGAAGGGCAACAAAATTGTCTCCAGTATTGCCTATAGAAGGGATGTTAAACCCAATTTTCATTAGGGACAGCATTAGCATTTTGATTGCCCCCTGAGGCCTGGTTGTATCTGCAAGACTAGATGTCCAGAGACCCCCCCCGCTGCAGTTTGCATAGAGGTGCAGGATCTAGTCTAGGCATTCTGTCCTTCTCTCTGCTGCTGAGATGGCAGGGGTCAGATGAGCCTCTCCATGGCTGCATGGAGAAGTACAGGATCTGGTGAAGGAGTCGTGTTTTCCTCTCTGCTGCCGGCTGCTGAGATAAAGTGGAGGCGGAGACGAGGGGGGTGGCACAGCTGCAGCAGAGGTGCGTGGGGCCACATGAAATGACTTGACAGGCTAAATTAGATATACAGACCTTGTGTTTGAAACACATAGCCTATAGGATGAATGCAGCTGATCCTTTCCCCATTACTGACTTCCCATGATTTGTTCAGCGGCAGGGCTTTGCTTCCTCCTTTCAGCAAGGAGAACAGCGAGCAGCACAGTAGTGACTTTGCCGAATCTCATGAAACTATCAAAACCGCTGGTGTGTAGTGGGCAGTAGATCAGTGCAGTGATTATGCATACATCTCATAAAGTTCAATTGCTGGCAGCACAGTCAGAGGCCTTACACTGCGCTACACTGAAAAAAAGGGGTGTTTCTCAGCACCCCATGCCCGTGCACCACTGCAAAGCAGTGGTGTGAACTGGGCACATAGGAGCCAAGGCATCTTGCCTTGTCCATGTGGTGGGAATGCCCTGGAATGATTTGCATGTTCATGAGGGAAATAAGTATTTGATCCCCTTCACAAAACATGACTTAGTACTTGGTGGCAAATCTCTTGGGAAATAAGTATTTGATCCCCTATCATTCAGCAGGATTTATGGCTACCATGTGTCTTTCATACAGGTAACAAGCTGAGATTAGAAGCAGTCTCTTAAAGAGTGCTGCTAATCTCATTTTGTTACCTGTATAAAAGATACCTGTCCACAGGAGCAATCAAACAATCAGATTCCAAACTCTCCACCATGGCAAAGACCAATGAGCTGTCCAAGGATGTCAGGGACAAGATTGTAGATGTACACAAGGCTGGACTGGGCTACCAAACGATTGCCAAGCAGCTTGGTGAGAAGGTGACAACAGTTGGTGTAATCATTCACAAATGGAAGAGACCCAAAACAACTGTCGGTCTGCCTAGGTCTTGTGCACCATGCAAGATCTCACCTCGTGGAGTGTCAATGATCATGAGAACAGTGAGGAATCATCCCAGACCTACATGTGAGGATCTTGTCAATTATCTCCAGGCAACTGGGACCACAGTTGCCAAAAAAAAACAATTGGTAACACACTACGCAGACAAGGATTGAAATCCTGCAGTGCCCGCAAGGTCCCTCTGCTCAAGAAAGCACATGTCCAGGCCCATCTGAAATTTGCCACTGAACATCTGAATGATGCAGAGGAGGACTGGTTGAAAGTGTTGTGGTCAGATGAGACCAAAATTGAGCTCTTTGGCATCAACTCAACTGCCGTGTTTGGAGGAGTAGGAGGAATGCTGCCTATGACCCCAAGAACACCATCCCAACTGTCAAACATGGTGGTGGAAACCTGCTTTGGGGGTGTTTTTCTGCTAAGGGGACAGGACAACTGCACCGCATCAAAGGGATGATGGATGGGGCAATGTACTGTCAAATCTTAGGTGAGAACCTTCTTCCCTCAGCCAGGGCATTGAAAATGGGTCGTGGATGGGTGTTCCAGCATGACAATGACCCAAAACACATGGCCAAGGTAACAAAAGATCTCCAGATCTTAAACCGATTGAAAATCTGTGAAAGGAACTGAAAGTTTGAGTTGCCAAACGTCAGCTGCCAAACCTTAATAACTTGGAGAGGATCTGCCAAGAAGAGTGGGCCAAAATCCTTCCTGAGATGTGTGCAAACCTAGTGGTCAACTACAGGAAACGTCTGACCTCTGTGGTTGCCAACAAGGGATTTGCCACCAAGTACTAAGTCATGTTTTGTGAAGGGGATCAAATACTTATTTCTCTCATAAACATGCAAATCAGTGCATAATTTGTCAGACATGCATTTCTTGTGAATGTTTTGTTGCTATTCTGTCTCTGTGTTACGAGACACCTACCTTTTCGATTGATTATTTATTTGTGAGTGGGCAAACATTCAAAATTAGCAGGGTATCAATTACTTATTTCCTTCACTGTAAATTGCTACATGGTGGCAGGGGTGAGCAAAATCACGTGTGTGTATGTATATTATAATTAGTAATTTTAGCATTTCCGGGTAGGGGGTGCGCGCCCTACCCATGCCGCCATTAGCGCCTTTTAGTACAGTGTCAGTGTGGTTGGGTTTTTTTGTTTTTGTTTTTCAGATCACTGTATTGGTGTCACTGGGGATATCAGTGACACCAAGTCAGTTCCCCCCCAGTGTCCGAATGCCTGTCGCGCTAAGTTGCTGATCACTGCCATTATTACTGGACATGTTTAACCATTTGACGCTCGGCCAATAGCCTTATGGCGTCCGGAAAAATGCACTAGCTTTCCGGGAGGCCGCCATTTGGCATACTCCCACACATGCACAGTTCGCGCGCTTGCAGAGCCGCACAGCGGCGCAATCTGTCACTGGCCGTGTACCTCGGACACTGCCGATGACAGATCTGAGTATCGGCCCCGTTGCCGATACCATGTGACCTGCTGTGACCAATCACAGCAGGTCACATGACAGTTGTATACAATGGATGGCTTCATTCATGCCATCCATTGTATACTAGTGTCTAGCTAAGAATGGTCACAGCTAATCACATGTACGTCATGTGATTAGCTGTGGCCAAATCACAGCCAAGAAAAAAACAAACAAACACTGAATGAATCGATGTCATTCAGGTAAATGCTTGCGTATAGCAAAGTAATTCTTTGCTATAAGCAAGTGTGTGTGTGTGTGTGTGTGTGTGTGTGTGTGTGTGTGTGTGTGTGTGTGTGTGTGTGTGTGTGTGTGTAAAAAAAAAATGTAATAAAAAAATTTAAAATAATAATAAATAAATTATATATAATATATTTTTATGTTAATTTAGCAAAAAATAAAAACCCTGGTGATTGATTAAATACCACCAAAAGAAAGCTCTAGTTGTGTGAAGAAAATGATAAAATTTTAGTTTGGGTACAGTGTTGTATGACCGCGCAATTGTCATTCAAATTGTGTGAGTGGTGGCGATTAAATCACATTCGGATATTTCTGGCTATTCATTATTAGTTTCACATTTTAAACTGAGCATGTATGCTGATGATGTTATGCTTTTTATTACTAACCCGTTGACTTCTTTACCTAACTTGTGTGCTGTATTGAACGATTTTGCCAAAGTGTCAGGTCTCACCGTTAATTTTACCAAATCTGTGGTCATGCCTGTTAATGTTCCTGACTCCCTAAGTGCATCTCTCCGTAGTTCTTTCCCATTTCGCTGGGTCAAGGACAAGATATCCTATCTGGGGATTAACCTCACTCCCAGATACTCGGATATATTTGCGGCTAATTATCCACCATGTGTATCGCGTCTCTCTACTCTACTGAAGATCTGGCACGGTTATCATATCTCCTTTCTGGGTAGAGTCACGGCGGTTTAAAATGAATATTTTGCCCAAATTGCTTTATCTTTTTAGAGCACTTCCAGTTCCGGTCTCAAAAACCTTTTTGGATCATTTTCAGCGGACTATTAATAATTTTATTTGGGGAAATAAGCATCCACGTTTTGCCTCATCCATTTTGTATCGCTCACAACGGTCGGGAGGTCTCGGTCTTCCTAACTTTTGGCTATATTATCTCTCGGCTCGCTTTGCGCAATTGTCACAATGGGCTACTATTAACTCTCAAATCCCGTGGATCAAGTTTGAGTCTCAGTCGATACGCCCTTTTTATTTACCGGGAATTTTATGGTCTAACATCTCCCCCCGATCGACTGTTTTTCATAACTCCATAGTGACTCACTCACTGACGCTTTGGTCCAAACACAAATCTAAATTGGGTTTAGTCTCTTCTATTCCCCCAGGTGTGTCATTTTTTGGGGATCCTACTTTTGTTGTAGCCTTTTCTTCCCCTCATATGTTTCGTTGGTGGTATGATCGATCTTTTATCAGATTGTCTGATTTCCAAAGAGGAGGATCTTATATTACCTTTGATATGCTGCGCGTGTTGTTTGATGTTCCTCTTCGCGAGTACCTTCGTTATAGACAGATTAGGCACTTTTTTAAAGCGCACTTTGGCCTTGTCCCATCCTCTCCGACTTCCTTTTTTGAACGTGTCAGCTGTGACTCTCCCAGGGGTAGGGGTCTTATCTCAAATCTTTATCACCAATTTTTGATCTGTCTTTTTCATGCTCCCCCTTTGTACAGACGAAAATGGGAGGAGGATTGTGGCGTCACTTTTTCGGATGAGGATTGGGATTCCATGGTGGATAATATATGCAAGAGCTCTAGATCTCTTTCGGTTCGTGAGACGGCCCTTAAAGTTCTAACCAGATGGTATTATACCCCGTCAAGACTACATGTACTGTTTCCACAAACGTCCCCTCTATGTTTTCGGGGCTGTGACTGCACGGGTACTTTGGTTCATATATTTTGGGATTGCCCGACCATATCTTTGATCTGGCGTAGGATTTCTGAGGTCGCTACCTTATTGTCGGGCGCCCCGATACGATTGTCCATGCAGACCTGTTTGTTGGGGGCCCATATCCCAGGGGTCTCTGATGCCAATCTGAGATTGATACACACATTATGTATTGCCACTTTATGGTCTATTGCCCTACATTGGAGGTCCAATGTTGTACCCTTAGACTCCGTTTTACACAGAATTGACACTGTAATGCTTATGGAACGCATTCATTATACCCTACTGGATAAGCTGCACTTATACGATAAAAAATGGGAGCCATGGAGAGATTGCAGACACTTATTACATGCTTAATAACATCCCCAGTAAAAGTTGGCTGGCATGTACTATTGACAGGTGTATCACCTAACCTATTTTGTCGTTTACGTGTACGTACTTCATGCACTTGTAACTTCCTCTTTTTTTTTCTTATCTTCTTTGTTATGTTAATATACCTTTATGTATTGTACTTTTCAAAAGTGCCTTGTTTTTGCTGACAATATCACTTTTAAAGTGTGCTGTTGTTCTACTGTCTACTCTTGTACAATAAAATCGTTTGTAAACAAAAAAAATTGTGTGAGTGGGCTGAAACCTGAAAAATGGCCTGGGCAGGAAGGGGGAAAATTGCCCGGTATTGAATTGGTTAACAGTAAAAAAGAGTAAAAATTATTTATTTTTTTTTTTTGTAGCGCAAAAAATAAACTCAAAAGGTGAACAAATACCACCAAAAAGCTCAATTCGTCGGGGAAAAAAAGGACATACATTTTATTTGGCTAAAGCATTGCATGACCACACAATTGTCAGTTAAAGTAACGCAAACAATGGGAAGGGGGGGGGGGTTAAATCCTCAGGAGGGCAAGTGGTTAAAGTGCTTGTAAAAGATTCTTTGCAAAAACACAAAAAAAAAAAATACAAACATGTCATACTTTACTTACCTGTTCTCTGTAATGGTTTTACACAGAGCAGCACCAATACTCCTTCTTGGGTACCCCACCGGTACTCCTGGCTACCTCCCCTCTGACGACTAGTGCCCCCATAGCAAGCACCTTTTTTTTTTTTTACCAGTCAGGCTAAGCAGTGGTAAATACAGCTGTGTTCAAAATCATAGCAGTCAGACATCACTAACCTGATCAATCACTGTTTTTGGTAGAAATGATATTTCTACATGGCAAATAATTTACTAGCAGGTGTAGTAGAGTAATAGAAATCCAACAGACCCAACAGTCATGACATGCATGCTGCTGATTCTGTGTAATTGAATCACTAATTGAAAGGAGCATGTTCAAAATAATAGCAGTGTGGAGTTCTATTAGTGAGGTCATTCATTCTTTGAAAAACAGGTGGCAATTATTGCCCTTATTTAAGGAAAGAAGGCAGCAAATGTTGTACATGCTGGTTACAGCGCATTTCTCTCTGAAATTCTGAGGAAAATGGGTTGTTCCAGACATTGTTCAGAAGAACAGCAAACCTTGATTAAAAAGTTGATTGGAGAGGGGAAACATATAAAGAAGTGCAGAAAATGATAGACTGCTCAGCTAAAATGATCGCAAATGCTTTAAAATGGCAAACCAAAACCTGAAAGATGTGGAAGAAAGCGAAAAACTACCATTCGAATGGATAGAAGAATAGCCAAAATGGCAAGGACTCAGCCAACAATCAGCTCCAGGAAGATCAAAGAAGGTGTAAAGTTACCTGTGAGTACTGTTACAATTAGACGCCTATGTGAAGCCAAACTATCTGCAAGAAGCCCCCGCAAAGTCCCACTGTTGAAAAAAAGACATGTGCTGAAGAGGTTACAATTTGCCAAAGAGCACATTGACTGGCCTAAAGAGAAATGGCGCAACATTTTGTGGACTGATGTAAGTATCCCCATCTTTTTGGGTCTAGTGGCCGGAGGCAGTTTGTCAGACGACCCCCAAACACTGAATTCAAGCCACAGTTGGTAATGCTGCCTTATGCTGCCTTATGCTGAAGAGGAAATGCCCTTGAAATGGGTGTTCCAACAAGACAACGACCCCAAACACACCAGTAAACGTGCAACATCTTGGTTCCAGACCAACAAGATTGACGTTATGGAGCGGCCAGCCCAATCCCCGGATCTTAATCCAATAGAAAACTTGTGGGGTGACATCAAAAATGCAGTTTCTGAGGGAAAACCAAGAAATAGAGAAGAACTGTGGAATGTAGTCCAATCATCCTGGGCTGGAATACCTGTTCACAGGGCCAGAAGTTGGTTGACTCCATGCAACACAGATGTACAGCAGTTCTCAGAAACAGTGCTTATACAACTAAATATTCATTAAGTGATTCAAAGGAAAGCAAAATCTTCAAACATTTTTCAGTTTATATAGTGAATGTTTGAGTTTGTAAAGAAGAATACAAATACTGCTATTTTTTTTTGAATAGTCTAATATTCACTTTTCTTAAATTTTTTTTTTTTTTTTTTTTTTTTTTTAAGGGAACAACACAAATTTGATATATTTTTTCTTCATGTTTTGATTTGGAATAGAATGTGTAGTGTTCCCAATGCATTTGTGCGTATGGAAATAAAAGCTATTAGAAAGATTTTGAGCTGTATTTAAAATAATAGCTTGTTGAAAAAAAGTGAACACAACTGTATGTGGTGCCGGCTCTTTCTGTGCTATCGCTATTGTTGTCACCTTATCCACTGTGACTAAAAAAAACAAACTTGCTACTTCAGGGTATGTAGGCACGTGCAATGCTCCTCCAGCCTTCCATAACTTCTTGCTACTTCAGGGTATGCAGGCACGTGCAATGCTCCTCCAGCCTTCCATAACTTGGTGCTCAGTCTCTTGGTAACCAGTCGTCTGAGCCTAACAGAGGGTGCAGAAGGCCTTCACTCCTGTTTTAGGGGAATCGTTTCATTTTGATGTCGATTTCCTCTTGTGAACCACTGTCCTGCAAAGCATGTCCCCCTTTTTTTTTTTTTTTTTTTTTTTTTTTTTTTTTTTTTTTTTTTTCTTTAACCCCCTTCCCACCTGCCCCAGTGTCCCCTAAACAGTTTGGAATGTCCAGGGCGCAGGATGACTGTGAAGGAGCGTAAGTCCACAAAGTATCCTAAATTAAAATCTGAAATGAATGGGCTGCTTTAGCACAACATAATATGTAACTAACTAACTGCTACAGACTGGCTAGGTGTGAATTATACTTTTAAGGTTTTATCCACCTGAATCTAATATTTCCTTTTCATATCAACACTGATTTGTTGAATCTACCTGTCAACTTCTTATATCTCTGTGCTGGCAAAATATCTGCACATATTGTCTCTGCACCCACCTACAAGACTATGATAAAGGTGTCCCTCTCTTGCAGCAGGAGTCATTACTATTTATTATACATGATTTATATAACACAGTTTTTTGTGCGGTGCTTTACAAATTAATGGAATCCTGACACCTACCTTAATTTGGCTTTGCAGTGACTGTCATAGACCTGTAAATTTAAAGCGGTGATTTGGTAATGTTCCAACAGCAAAATCCTAAATTGAAGTGCTACCTTTGAGTCGTGTTGGCTTTCAGATTCTGTACATTACTAAAATGATTTTTATTAAATATCAACCATATTCTATAACATTTTCTTTTGGCCCTTTTTTTTTTTTTTTTTTTTTTACTGTAGGGTTCTGCTGCGCTTTCACCCTCTGGAGCCTTGGCAGATTGGGAAAAATGGAACGGTTATGACATATCTGTTATGACTTGCTAATACTGAAGAGTATACAACCATTTCAGAAGTTTTATTGGAAAGCATTCAGGATATTCTTTCTTTTAAATATGCTATCCATGATCTTTACATAATGAAATTAATTCCCTGCAGATTAGAGAACATCGGGATCAGCAATTTCAGTATCTGTTAGTTTTACAGCTACATGTTTGAGTCAGTGAAGATTTACACACTAACAGTATGCTATGTTGTGCTAATAAAGTATTACAACTAATGCTGCCTGTGTGTAGATAAGTGAATTGTTTGTACCTGCCTTATTATTGTTCTTTATTTTCTCATGCAAACTGCCTTACAGTTCTTGCAGAAACATTCATTTTAAGCGCATTTGAAAATAATGTAAGACATTTCTTTTTTTTTTTTTTTCCCCTAACAAGAAATAGACTGTAAAGAAACCAGACTGAAACAGCCCCCCCCCCCCCCCCCCCCAAAAAAAAAAATACATCCATGGAAATTTGATAGTGAAACTACTAGTGATATCATAACCAGTTTCATAGGTTCTAATTAATTTCTGTGTACATGCACCTTCATCAATTGAATAATGAGCTGATCTCAGCTAGGCATGAGACGAACATACCATGGGTTTGGTTCAATGCAGGTTTGGTTCAATGCAGGTTTGGCAAACTGGTCTGAAGTTTGGATCGTGAATCTTGACCCCTTTTGAAGGCAATTGCAACTGTATCTTAGAAATCAGTAATGGCAATGGATTGCTAAACAAAGGGCATGGAGAGGTGGGCAGTGGCCTGGGAGACAAATTTTTTTTTTTTTTTTTTTTTTACATTTTATTGTTCCATAGGGAAATGGACTTTTCAGGCAGCTTAAAGGCTACGGTCTCCTTTTTAAGGAAAAAAGTAATCAATGCACATATTTTAGCAGAAAAAAAAATGTGCATTTATATTTTTTTTTTTCTACAGGAGTCTGAAAAACATTGAATCCCATGATCAGTGATGTGACGGGCGTGGCGTCAGGCCCCAGCCCTTCTCACCAACCCGTGACCAAAGGACCAGCTGTTCTTGCACTGCGCTGTCACTTGCGTAACAATGCCATTCTCAGCTGTGCCCTGCACAAAGATTTTCCAGCTTGCGGGACAACAGTCTATGTGCCAGCAGCCTGAGAGCGATTGTTACTGGGTCAGGTTAATTACGCAATTAACCCTTCACACTGCCACCACCACTTTTTTACAGAGAAGGAGGAACTCACAAATCTTAGCAGTAACACTATGATATTAGTATGAGCATCTGTAACACACTGTCACCACAGACAGATGTATTCAGAGGATTATTACATACAGTAGCACTCTTCAGAGACAGGGATTCTTTAGTTTGCATTAAAAGCTTTAGAGACAGTTCAACTCTCTTCAGAAAATAGGATTTATTACTAAAAAGGTCAAAATGGTGCAATTTAAAATATTTACACAAAAAGATGTAACAAATATATAAAAAGAGCAATAAAACAACAGAGAATTAAAAAAGTTCAGAAGGCAGAATACTTGCAAAAGTCCTTGGTTTGATAAGAGTCCAAGTGTCTGAACAAAAGGTTGCCTTTGCTCTCAAGATGGTTTCCTGATCGATCTTAAAAGGAGAGCTCATTTTTCTCCAGGCTGTCAGTCTTTTTCTATCATCTCCAAAGGGGTGTCTCCTGAGAACAAATGACGAATCGTCCCTTTGGGGATGGGTGTTAGGCGGTAACCAAGGTTATGACCAAATCCCTTACAAGTTCATACTACGGTCAATAACCTTCAATAGGTACAGGTAGCATCCTAGGAACTGGCAGCTCAATATTTCGAATTATGTTCCAAACGCACAGATACTAAACGTAGCATATCTTGCCACTCCGGATAAAAGAGACTGCTCTATGTTCTTTCGTAGGTACTGATATAGTCATGCAAGGTCTCGTTTGACTCATATTAAAATGACCTATCTAAATATGTACGTCATATTAAGGTGCCCAGTTCCTGCTGAAGTTTATGAATTGGTATGAAAAATTACTCATGTAGAATGTACGTTTTTTATGGCACACTCTAGCTCTAATGGCCTAACAGGTCATGATGAGACTGACTGAGTTAATATTTTACGATTTACAGCCATGAAGCTCATCCAGCTGTGCTCATCTAGGATAAGTGGCCTTTTGAACTCCGTTCACCCACAGCCTCACATTCCATTCAAAAGGGAGGAGGGAGGACAGGAGAGACAACTTGGCCATGACCTAACAAGATGGCTGTCAGTGTCCATGTCTCTATATGCACAATTGTCACAAGTGAATTGAGGGTGTGATATTAAGCTCCTGCATACCCTCCCTCCAGCTTTCTGCCCATACCTCTGTATGGGCTTTCAGTTAGAAAGCTGGAGGAAGGGTGGATGGACTATGATTGTACTGATCAGTGCACTCGTAGTCCATTGAGAACTACAAGTCACCTGCCATGGTGGCAGACAGGATATGTAGTTTATTCATTCACACATTCCCAAATATTGGGTGTAACATGTTATATGCTCTAAAGGTGAACTTAGTATTTTAAAAAGCAACACTGAAACTGCAAACGTCCTTCAAATTACATGCTTGGGGTTCTCCTTGAAGCAGTACATGGTTTGACAGAACATGTTGCTGATTGTAAGGGACACCACCAGAAACAGCATATTGTGTCATCACAAAAATTGCATGTGTAATAATTTAGTTTACGTTTACACCATTAATTGACTGCATATAGCAGTAGCAACCCAATATGGCTGATTTTCCCAAAAAAAACTTTTATTAGCTTTTTTTTTTTTTTTTATAAAGGCAAAGATTGCTTGGTGTAGCTGTAATAGACCATAAGTGAGTGCTGAAAGTAGCAGGGACAATGTGACTAAAATGTATTGCAAATTGTTTATAATGTATGCAACATTATACAGTGGGCATAGAAAAGAATCACTCTCCTTTTAAAATAATCACATTTTGTTGCTTTGCAGCCTGAAATGAAGAAAGGCACTGTCTGAGCAGGAGAGGCCAGTCTGGTCCATCTTTTTGTTTTGTTTCTGGCCCATCTTTTGTTTCGCATCCTAACTTTTTACCTTCTCCACTGCATTCCTGGCAATGTGCCTAGAAATATTCCTCTATACAAAGATTGTTATTCAACTAATACATTGCAAAAGTTATTTCTTGATAACAATAAATATATATTTTTCTTTACTAGTATTGGGATTGGTGCAATGTATGCTGTACCTATGTATTGCTTGGAAAGCCTTGTGATTTGTAGTTAGGCACCTGTTGGAGGTGGTTACAGGTTATGTAGGCAACAATTTGTTCTCACTTAGAAATTTGCTGCTACAGTATGTAGTGCCATGGCTGATCGATTTCTCTATGTTCCTGTATTCATTCAATCAGTATGTCCCTATTCACTAAAGAAACCAGAAAACTTCTTGTTCTGGGTCACACAGGGGTTTATTTACTAAAGCTGGAGAGTCCAAAATCAGACTCCCTTCTGCATAGAAACCAATCAGCTTCTAACCTTAGCTTGTTCAATGAAGCTTTGGCAATGAAACCTGGAAGCTGATTGGTTTCTATGCAGAAGGGAGTCTGATTTTGGACTCTCCAGCTTTAGTAAATAAACCCCACAGTGTCCAATCCATGCCAGACCATTTCCTTTGTGTTACATTACAAATGTGAGGGTGCTGATGTGATGAAAACACATCTCTTCCGGCATGGTGATCTGTTATTTGCACTATTTGTGGCTGTGTCAGATCAAATTACTGTGTAGTTCTCACCTGCATCAGTGCTAGAGTGGGAGATTGTGGGATATGTAGTATGTATACACAGGAAGTGTCAGTTCGTAGACTACAGACATCAGAGGTCATGCATGCACCGTGCCTGTGAGATTCAGATGCAGGCACGGTATCAACTGGCCCTATTTAACTAAAATGAATAAGTAAATTTATCTTCATTTTATCTTGTGATTTTGTTTTTCCTAAAAATGATTTTTTCACAAACAGAAATATTGCTTTTGGTGTGAAATTCTTTTTGCATGCATGAGCAAGTGACTGTTGAAATCTTTCTCTCATGAATTGTTATTTATCTCACAAAAGCCTCAATTCACTAAACTAAAATGCATGCTGTTTGCAATAATGATTATTTTCAGTCTGTGAAAATCTTTGTAATAATGTTTGTGAATTGATTTTTACACACAAAATATGTCAGATAATAAAGTGATATACATAAAAAAAAAAAATGCAAGTTAGTGAAAACACTACATGCTATGTGCTTTTATGAATTGCGCTTGTCCAAAGATGTGTTTCCTAGTAGAACATCTCTTGGCACTGTGAGTGTAAGTGATTGTCTGGGGATTAATACCTGCAGATGTTCCTGTGCTCATTTAGACACGGGCACACCATCCCAGAGGACAGTACTATACTCAGCAACTCTCCTGAGGCTTTCATCCAATATACAAAATTAAAGCAGCAATTCTTTTTTTTGCATCCAGTTGCTGTGCATTAATCTGTGTTGTTTCAAATCTGTCAAGAACAAAAATGTAAGATATCACAGCTTACCAGTTCTCAGATGTGGCGGATGCATTTGTTTTTTTTTTCCCTTATTCTCCCTGGTGATCTTGCCAGTAACACACCTATTCGCACAGGATGAAGACACTCCCTCGCCTAACTATGAGGTGTTGTATTGTCACCTTAGAAAAGGAAGTGTACTAAGACTACAGAACATCTGTAATTCTTCTCTATAACATAGTGACAGGTGTTCTGTATTTCACAGAGAGGACTGGAAACAATGTAACTGATGAGAGTTACTAACAGACCGAAAGGGAGCGAATTCTAGAAGTTCTTAAAGCTGTTATAAACCTAAAACAAAATATATGTGTGCGCACCTAATAGCGATCACTGAAGGAAATCGCTAGTTCTATGGACAGCTGTGGATAGCAGTGGTCGCCGCTGGCTTGTCATTGAAAGGTAAAAGGCTCAGCAGCCGCAGATAGGTGGAAAAAAACAGCTGAAGGAA